TTGTGTTGCGTTAAGGCCGCACAGTATCTAATTTTTCTAGTGTAAGAAATCTATTCCCGTGACAAGTTTGTACTCAAATCCAAAACCAAGTAAAGAATTATAAATTTGTGAAAAAATTTAAGAACCAATGAAATGTACGTACGCGTGCATTTAAACCTTGAAAAAGGACAATTCAATGTTGCTGAATTAGAAGAGTTTCCTTCCCATGACTTTCTGCACATTTTCATCATTTATAACAGAACTGCCAAATGTGACTTATCAACCTATTGGCTTGCCCTATATGACTATGTTTTTTTTTTTTGGGTGTCTACTAAGTCCTGTTTGGTAGAACTTAAAAAAATTGATAAATATTTAAGTTGAAATTAAAAATTAATTTTATTTTATTTTATAGCATACACAATTTTTAATAATTATATATTTTTATTTTTAACCACACTGAACATGGGATAAATATATAAAGTTATTAAATTATTAAAAATACACTAAAAACAATAGATCATGGGTCGGCGGTGGGGGCATTCCCGACTAACATAGCAAATGAAATTATATGTGAAAAATCGAGAACTAATTAAAGATAACACGATTTAAATTACATAAGTTGTCGTAATTCCTACTGATCTAGTGGATTTAAATCTTGTAATGAAATAATAAAGTGTCGAATAAGAGTTCATATCGCGAACTCCATATTTAAAGCGAAAAAAGATAATCTCCTCGATTTTTTTGAAATTCGACTTTAATTTTGATATGATATAATATAATATCATTTAAATTTTCTTAAAGAGAGCGACGCATCTCCTTTTATTTAAATTGTTTACATATTTACTTAAAACAAACAATAATTTACTCAAATTGAACTTCAGAGTCTTGTAGTCTACTTTAATCGCTTCAAAGCTACCAGCAAAGGTAATGTATTCAAAAATAAAATAATCAAATGATTAAAATAATTAATTAGATAATTATAAGTTAAGCAACTTCAAATATGAATACACAACAGATAACACATGTAGCCCCATTTCATCAGCAAGAAGATATTCATGTCAGATCTTGATTCTGTACAGTTCACAATCCTGCAATTTTTTTATTTTTCGATGACAACATGTCAGCATCTAAGATTAAATAAATCCACACCTTCTCAAAAAATAAAAATTAAAAAAGTCATTGCCTTTGGAAGAAAATTGAAGTAACCTTTCAAAAAATTGACTTTAAAGGCCACTTTTCTGTCTCCTATTGGTTAGATATTCAAACTGTGTTATCACGTTTCTTTTTCATGTTCTTAGCATGGAAAAGTGGATGGAAAATAAAGAAGATTGACCGATTGGTAATAAGTTACTTTTAGACGCGTTTGGATAAATTTTTAAAATTAATTTGTCTAATTAAAAGAATTTTTAAAGGAAGCCAGACGAGTTGAATAAACAAAAAAAATGTATAAATTTTTCATGTTTCTTGGGATGGTTTTATTTCAAAGAATGTGAGTTTTCCCTTCTAGAAGTATCAAATTCAAGGTCGATTGTTGGGTACAGTAAGACGTTAGGATTCCAAATTTGCAGTCCCAAACTTGTGAAGGCGTGCACTTTTCATCTATCTACAAATGTAACTTGAAACTTGAAAGCGACTGCTTATACATTCATTGTTCGTTCAAATGTGCCAAAGTAGCCGATTATGACGTAAGTTAGTGTATTATGTGAAGTTACGCGTGAAATTAAGTTAAAATTACTTTTAAGTTACTTATTTTGTGGGGAAAATTTGCTCATTCAAACCAATCGTGCTCAACTGAGATGGGCACAGATTTGTATTTTGGAGCAAACAACTGAGGCCGATAGCTGAAATAACATCAAAGGAAGAAGCTAAAAGGTTTAATTATTGATTATAATCTTATTCACAAGAGATTATTGCATAACATAAGATTAAATTGTAGCCAAAAAGACATAATTTTGCCAATTAGAAACTCTCAATAAGGCCAGAAACATGTGCCTTGAGCTTCAACAGGGAATCCCAGATTGCATGAATTTGGTTGCAGATCATCATAACATTCAGCTTCAAGTTTTGGGAATGGCAGAAGAAGGCTTTTGCTTAAACTGTCATCTTCATCTTGAGAAAAATCAGAAGGGTCCTGCTCGTGAACTTGCGAAGAATCGGCCAGTTCGACCAATGTCGAATTGTTGTCCGAGTCGGAAACATCACTTTTAGCAGAACTAGCATCTTCCTGCTTAGAGAACCCCTCTGGTATATTTGGAGAGTCATGGCTTAAATTTGGTTTCTTTGGTTCTGCATTGTCCAATGGCTCGGGTTTTCGCTTTCCTTTATCCCTCGAAAGCAACTTCTCCGTGAGCAAACGAACCTATTCGAAAATGAAAATAACTAGTTTCAACAGAAGGGTGAATTGAATTGAATTCTTTAACCAAAGCAACAAATATACCTCATTTTTCAATTTCTCATTGTCTTTGAACTGGCTGTCATAATCTGCCTTAAGTTTATCATAGCTTTCTTTCAATGAATCATACTCTTTCTCCAAGTGCTTCGTTTTGTACCGGGCTCGGCGGTTTTGAAACCAAATTGCAACCTGCCTAGGCTGCAATCCAAGTTCTTTAGCAAGCTGGAGCTTTCTCTCTGGTTCGAGCTTATTTTCAACCTCAAAACTTCTCTCAAGAAACAGAACTTGGTCGGGAGGGAGACGCCTTTTTTTCTCCGATTGATAATCATCGTTGCCATTTCCTTTTTTATCAATCTCTGTGAAAAATGACCTCTCTGTATTTTTAACTCCTTGAACATTTTCAAAGTTAACCATGGATGTAGATCCTAAAAACAGAGAAACCGTGGAAAATTTTCAATTTTTTACATTGACTGCCCAATTTCACACATTATCAGAAAGAATTGATCTCTGTCCAAAACTTTACAGTTGGGACTTATAATTATGTGGATCTTCAATTCCAAAAGGTATATCAAAAGCCTTAAATCACATAATTACTACAAATTATTAACAAAATACTCAAAGTAAACAGAGTAAAACTTAGTTCAAAATCATCAAAGAAAAAAATGTTATTACCATGAAAAGAAGGGGAAGAATTGGTAATCCAGAGAGAATCAAGTACTTCAGAAGAGCAAAAGAACCTTTCATTTTTGCATAAAACGTTATTCATGTTTGAACCATCACGCACCCTGGGATCCTCCATGGCTTCTACTTTCTAAAAAGAGTATTTTTGTGGGAAGTTAAAGTAGTAGCATACTTTTTTCTGAAAAGAAGGAATGAGTTGAAAAAAGTGAAAATCTATGGCTTATGACGGAAAAAAAAGTGACTATGAGATAATGTTGATATGGGAAATGTGCGATCAACGACGGTTCACACCCATCGCTCGGCAGAATATATGAGTAGAGGGAGAAACTGATGGATTCCGGAGAGAGAAAGGGTGCAATGGATTGTTTCTTGTTGGGATGGAACACATTGTGAAGTTACTATATCCTTTGTTCTTAGTACATGTTTGAACATTTGTAGTTTGAGAATGATTTTAATCCAATTAAAATTGAAAATATAGTCGTTATTGAGTCCTACCCGTCTAATAAAAGTCAACAATAACGGCTAATTTTTCAATTTTAATCCGATTTTAATCCCTCCCAAACTAGCTCTTGATTCTAAAATCTTTTTTGTAGTATAATTAAGGCCATGTTTGGGAGAAATTTTAATCA